CCACCACCCATCAAATCGTACAAACCCATCATTAATCTCCCCTCCCCCTTCACCTCCATTTCCCTCTGTTTCTACCCTCTCCCACCCCTCCTTATACTCATTGTACAATAATAGTTTTATACAATATTTATCCTGTGGAAGTGAGATCGTTCACTCAGCATAATACTCTCCAGTTTCTCCCAAGTTAGGTAATAATTTACAAAGTTATTGCTCCTGTGTGCTGCATAGTATTCCATTGTGTGAATGTACCATAATCTCTCAATCCATTCATTTATGGTTGGACATTTAGGCTGTTTCTATGTTCTTGAGATGGTGAATTATGCTGCTATGAACACTGGTGTTCAAATCTCAGTTTGTGCCTCAGTTCTAATTTTCTCAGAGTATATTCCAAGTAGTGGAATAGCTGAGTCATATGGAATTTCTATGTTCAGCTTTTTGAGGAAGCACCAAACTGCCTTCCAGAATGGTTGTACTATTTTACAATCACATAGGACCTTCTAAAGATTAAATCCATGTGTGCATCAATAACTTTTTCCAACAGGGTGAAAAGAAAGCGTACAGACTGGGAACAAACATTTGATAGTAACATCTCAGTCAAGAGTTTTATAACAAAAGTTTACAGAATACTCCCGAGCCTTCACAAGAAAAAAACTGATAACCCAATTACAAAATGGGCAAAAGACATGGAAAGAATTTTCACAGAGGAAGATGTTCAAATGGCAAACAGACACATGAAGAAATGCTCCAAATCACTGTCAATAAGAGAGATGCAAATCAAAACCGCAATGAGGTACCATCTCACTCCAGAAACAGTGGCAAAGTTTAACAGGCAGCAAGTAATACATGTTGGAGAGGATGTGATGAGAAAGGAACCCCCATTCTTCTTAAAGTTGGTCATAATTTGTTATGATCCATACAATCAAATGACTGCATAGTCAATAAAACACAAATAGAAATTGTTCTGATATTTTCTGCTTTCAGGTAAAATCCATCTGACATCAGCAATTATATCCCTGGTGCCACTGTCTCTTCTAAATCCAGCTTTCACTTCTAGCAACTTACTATTCTAATAATTTTTGGATGATCTTCAAAAATATTTTCTTTGCATGTCACGTTAATGATGTAATTGTTATTGTTGTTATGTGCCATCGAGTCACTTGTGACTCATAGCGAACCCATGTACAACAATTCTGAACTCTGCCCTAACTGTGCCAACCTTATCCTCTCTGGCATACCTACCCCCATTACCCTAGTCACTGAATCAATCCATCTCATCGAGGGTCTTCCTCTCTTACACTGGCCCTCAACTCCACAAGTATGATGTTCCTCACCAAGGACTGGTCCCTCCTTGGAATGTGCTCAAAGTATGTTAGACAAAGCTTCAGTATACTTGCCTCAAGGAGCAGCCTGGTTTCACCCTCTCTAGGACCAACCTATTTGTTCTCCTAGCAGTCAATGGTATATTCAGTATTCTTCTTCAGCACCACAGCTCAAAGGCATCAATTCTCCTTCTAACATCCCTAGCCATTGTCTAGCTTTTTGAGACATAGCAAGTAATTCTGAAGTCTATGACCTGGATTAGGTGTACCTTAGTTTCCAAACTGACATATTTTTGTCCTTCCCTACTCTGGACAGGTTCCTGACAGCAGACTTTTCTGATTCAACTTGACTCTTGATTTCCTGGCTGGTGGCACCAAGAGTGTTGATTGTGGAGCCAAGCAAACTACAGCTGTTAACAATCTCCGTTTTTTCACTGAGATTTTTTTCATGATGCTGCCAATCAGCCCAATGGTGACAATCTTTGTTTTCTTGTTTTTGAGCTTCAATACATATTGAAGGCTGAAGTCCTTGGCCTTCTGCAGCAAGCACTTAAGGTCCTCCTCAGATTCTGCATTAATTCAGGTTGTTGATGAGTCTTCCTCTAATCCTGATGCCACATTCCTCCTTATAGAGCCCAGACTCCTAGATGATCTGTTCTACATACAGATTGAAAAGGTATGGAGATAGGCCACATCCCTGTCATACACCCTTCCCAATTTTGAACCATACAGTGCTTGCTCTGTTCTGATGACTGCCTCCTGGTCCAAGTATAAGTTTCACATAAGCACAATCAAGTGTTCTGAGATTCCCAATCTTTTAAGAGTTAGCCACAGTTGGTTGTGATCCTCACAGTCAAATGCTTTTGCATAGTCAATGAAACACAAACATTCCTCTGATAGTGTCTGTTTTCAGCCAAGATCCATCTAACATTAGATATTATATCCCTAATACCACAGCCTCTTCTAAACCCATCCTGCGCATCTGCCAGTTCTCTGTTGATATGCTGTTCCAGTCGTGTTTGTTTTATACTAGTTTATTAACAAAATTCTAATACGTTATTTTTGAGAACAGATTCTTCCAATTTCCAGTCATTTTTTTTATACTCTTTAGGCAAATCTTTCTTGATTTTAATAATATTGTTTGATAATTTCTGCACTCTGTCAGGTATACTTGAGGAGAAACCAAACTTTATGAAGAACAATGTAGCATCAGGACCAAAGGAAGACTCATTAACAATCTGCATTATGCAAATAACACAACCTTGCTTGCTTGCCTGCTGTGAGGAAGACGTGAAGCACTTGATGCAGAAGATCAAGTACTACACACAATCTTCAGTATGAATTACACCTCTACGTCAAGAAAAAAAAATTCCTCACCACTAATAGACAATATCATGATAGATGGAGAGGAAATTGAAATTGTCAATGATTTCATCTTATTCTGATCCATTGTCAACATCATTGGTGTCAGCAGTCAAGAAAGTAAAAAAGAAGTCACAATAGGAAAATCTACTGTCAATGATTCTGTAGAGTACTAAAGAGCAATAATATCAGTTTAAAGACTAATATCTACTTGATTCAAGCCATGGTCTTGTCAATTGTTTGCTATGCCTCTGAAATTTGGACAATGACTAAGGATGACAGAACAAGAGCCAATGCCTTTAAGTTGTGGTGGTGAAGAATACCAAATATTCCAGGGACTATCAAGAGAACAAACAAGTCTGTCTTGGAGAAAGAAAAGCTTTTGTGCTTCTTGGAAGCAAGGATAATGAAAATTTGTCTCATTTACTTCAGTATGTGGTCAGGATAGGCCAATCCTTGGAGAAGTATATCATGCTTGGAAAGTTGGAAGGTCAGGATAAGTGAGAAAGACCCTCAACAAGATGGGTTTTACACAGTGACTGTAGCAATAGGCTCAAGTGCATCCGAGATGATGAGGATGGCACAGGAGAGGGTAGGTTTCAGATTCATTGTTCATAAGGCAGCTATAAGTTGTACTGGGCTCTGAGGTACATGAAAACAACAACAAAATAATGCAGACAACCTCCTCTTGAATAGTAATCCACTCATCTCAGTGGACGCTTACAGTAATCCACTGAGGAAAATGCTAATGAGGCTAGAAGGATGCTCGAGGGGATAGTGCACACCAGCTTTCAGAAGTTTCTTCAGATATACTGTTGTTCCTGTTGATTGCTGTCCAGTCGAGCCACTGAACAAAAGATCTGAAGCCTTTCTAGAACTATTATCAATTATCAAAGGTCATAGAGTTTCCGGGGAAGTATGTTGTTTAGGAAGTGGATTCCACTCCTGCTTCAGTACTTACACTTAGAGGGGGACTTAAGAGCAAATATCCAACTTTATGTAACTTCTTGGAAAGCCAAAACCTCATTACTCGTTGGTATGTTTAAATGCTTTTTCCAATACTAATCAATACAGAAGTCAGTAAGTGTAGCCTCAGGAGTCAAGGCAAGAAAAGATGTGAGTTGCACCCCAATCGATAGTGTTCCAATTGTTCCCAAGGGATCTAGGAGGTTCATCAGGAGAAAAAAAAAAGTAGAAGAGACAAAAAAGGCAAACCTACAGGTCAGATTAAATGCTTATTTGAAGCTGCTTTCTTAGACCAAGTGGTTCTAGCTCCCTTTGGGGAATCTTCCTGGTAGACACTATGGAGATGAAAAAATGCTTCTTCACTTTCACACAAAGTACAGTCAGACCTGCATTGTGTAAGATAGGTTTATTCATCGCTTAGCTGGCTTTATTTCTTGTAAAATTTCAGTGTTGGTTATTAAAATATTCACTGTAGGAAATAAATTTGTAACCCATTTTCTCATATTACCTACACATAGAAAAACAAAATTTGATATCTTGGGGCTTATTTGCTGAGGGTGCTTCCCATAAAAGCGAGTGAGTGTGCATTGAGAAATTTGTCTGGTTAACTCCTTTATGGATAAAAGTTAGTCACAACTGTCTCCCCCCACCCCCGGTGCTCGCCCCCATCAATCTCCCAGCCACTCCCCTTCCCGCCTCTCCAAGGCTGGTGACCTAATAGCATTTTTCTCCATGCATATTTTGGCTTCGCCCCATGGCCTGGCTGACTTCGTCTGTCTGAGTCTTTTTAAATTCCTGCATGTTCGCCCCAGATTAAGCTGACTGTGTCTCAGGATGTGTGTTCCTTTTCTTCTCTCTCCTTAACTCTCTCAGTGCAACGTGTCTGGTGCGGGTGGGGGCGGGGAGCTAGGGGAGGGATATTGAGGGGAAAGAGGGAGGGAGGGGCAGAGACGAAAAGCTGTCAGCTTTGCACGTTTCCAATCTCATTACGTGAACAAATAGCTGAGGGGCGGCGGGGCCAGAAACGGCTTGTGTAACTTTGCAAACGTGTCAGAAAGTTTAAAATCTCTTCTTTTCCTCCAGACACTGGCTGTTCACTGAAGCCTCCTCGCTGCTCTCTGCCGCCTTCCAGAAGGACTGGGAAAGGAGAGAGCCGGGCGCCACATCTGAGCAGCACTCTTCACCGGAGAAGGTCTGCAGCCCACCCTTGGCATTGCTTGGTGGGGACTGATACCCGGCTTGGCCCGCCTCTTTGGCTGGATGAGGTCTCCCTCTCTCACGTGATTTGAGCCCCGTTTTTATTTTCTCCAAGCCACGTCTTCCCCAACTGGGTACTATCCGGCAAAGGGAGCGATGCGCCTCGCCTGGACCGCGCTCCTGCTCGGCCCGCTGCAGCTCTTCCCGCTCCTGCGCTGCGCCCCGCCGGCCGTCGGCCAGCAGCAGCCTCCGCGCGAGTCGCCTGCAGCTCCGGGCGCCTGGCGCCAGAGGATCCAATGGGAGAACAACGGGCAGGTGTTCAGCCTATTGAGCCTGGGCTCGCAGTACCAACCGCAGCGTCGCCGGGACCCGGGCGCCGCCGCCCAGCAGCAACGTACGCCGGTCCTGCTGCTCCGGAACAACCGCACGACGGCAGCGCGGGCGCAGGCGGCTGGCTCATCCGCAACCACCGCCGCCCGCCCCAGACCCGCCACGCGCCACTGGTTCCAGCCTGGCTACTCGCCGTCCGGAGCCCGCGGCGCTGGAGGCTCGCGCACCGGCAACGGGACCGCGCCAGGAGAGCGCCCGGTGCTCAGTAACCTGCGGCCGCCCAGCCGCGTAGACGGCATGGTGGGAGATGATCCATTTGCCCCCTACAAGTACTCCGACGACAATCCTTACTACAACTACTACGACACGTACGAAAGGCCACGGCCCGGGGGGAGGTACCGGCCTGGGTATGGTACAGGCTACTTCCAATATGGTAAGCATTACCCCACCCCCGCAAGTCCTCTGGACAGCCCTGTCCCCAACTGTGTGGTTCCCCGACGTGGCTGCTTGGGCGCGGCTGACCTTGGTTCCCGCAGATACGACCCCTCCCCCCCGCGCCTGCAAAAGCAGCCCTGGAATCTGGTGGAAACCGCGCGCGCCTGGCTCGTCCTGCTTCCTTTCCATTTCGCTTTGCAGCACCCACCGAGCGAGCATTGCCCCTCCCGCGTTGTCCGCTTCCACAGCCCCATCCGCGGACCTGGTGGGCGAGGGGTGAGGTGTAGCAGACGTAGAGTGGACCAGTAGCTGGAATGGAGGACGCAAGAATTGACTCGCCCCTGTGTCCAATGTTGCTGATCTTTAGGTCTCCCAGACCTGGTGCCTGACCCCTACTATATCCAGGCGTCCACCTACGTGCAGAAGATGGCCATGTACAATCTGAGATGCGCTGCTGAAGAAAACTGTCTGGCCAGGTAGGGGTTGTAGAAATGCTTTATTCTGATGCCTCCAGTTCGGCACACAGACAAAAGCTGAGAAGTGGGACGTGACCTCCTGCTTATGCCTGCGTATGCAGGTCTGGGTGGAATGTTCAAAGTTCGAAAATTTCTGTGGATTCTGCCTCTCAGACGGTGGCATAGATCAGGAAGATAAAGTCCGTTTCTTTAGAAAGTGGTAACGCCGTGCTCTTTTTCCAGGAATCTTAAATTTTGGAGCCAACCTTTCTAGTAACGTTCTGTAAAACATCTATGCAGTTAGATGGAAAAAATTAAGGTAATGGAATAGTTTTTCAATCCCTCTTTAGAAGATTGGAGACAGATTTGCTACTGTGGCACATTAATCCTCCCTTTAAAAACTTAGGGGCAAATTTGCCGCCGAAGTACCCCCTTCACTGGCAAAGATTTCTTCTCTTTTGTTTGAGGTAACAATTAACTTGGTTGTTTAAGTATTGCTTCGGCCAAATAAAACCATGAGCAATAGCTTTGTTTTTCCATCAGTCCTAAAATAAAATTGTAAGCAATTCAGGAAATGAGTTTGCTGCTGAGAGACCAGCAGAGGGAGCAAAAGATAGGTTCCATTAAGATTTTAAAGAGCAAAATAAGGTCTTCAATATAGTGTTTGAACATATGTATAATCACAAAGCTATATATTAAAAGAAATACAAAAATGTATATTTCCTCCACTTTGGCCATTTATAACTGGCATCCTGAGATAATGTGATCAATTCAAGCTCCTATTTTTTTTTTTATTTCTAAGTCTTTCCATTAAGCCCATTACTGCACTTTCTAGAATATTATTCCATTAGTACTTGTTTCAAAGATATTGTGAAGTTGCAAGCTTACTCATCTAAATCTGAGTATATAGTTATTTCCCTTGTTTATATCTTTGTTAACTAAAAAGAAATATGTTGTCCTAAAATTCAAAAATTCAAAGTCCTAAATGAATGTTAAGTGCCCTCAAATAGAAACCAATTCATAGTTGACTCCTCCAGCTGATTTTCAGAGGCTGTACCTAGCACCAGAGGGAAATGCTCATTTTTCTCCTGCGGAGCAGGTTGTGGATTCAAACAGTGTGCCTTTGGGGTTGCAGCATGACTCGTCACTAGGCCACCTGTATCTATGGGTTTGTTTTTTTTTTTAATTCACAATCATTTCCACTTTAATTTTATTTAGTCATATTGGCAAACATGAGTTGTTAATAGAGTTCACTTGCCACATAAATTTTTAATGCTAACCTTATTTTTTTTTCCTCTTAAGCTCTGAAATTATCTATATCTTTCTCTTAAAATTGGTGGGGTGGGAGAAACAAACCAAACCCAAACTCACTGCCACTGAGTCTGTTCAGACTCAAAGTGCCTCTCCATTGGTTTCCCAGGCTGTGAAGCTTGCCGGAAGGAGACTGCCCAGCTTTCTCCAGTGGAGCAGCTGGTAGATTGAGCACCTGATTTTCACTTACCAGCACAGTTCATATGGCCTAACCACTAGAGCTCTTTATATAATCAACAAATATTCCTTGAGCTATGACTTGTCAGGCACTGTTCCAGGATAGGTGGAATCAGCCATAAATAAAACACCAGGCTCCTGGAAACTTAATCATCTGCTTGAGGGAAGAGGGTCATCACTATTACCTTATCATGAGATTTGGTTTATGGATTTGCTTTTAGTTAATATTCCATGAATGCAATTATTTTTCTTTCAAAATTACAGTTCAGCATATAGGGCAGATGTCAGAGATTATGATCACCGAGTGCTGCTAAGATTTCCCCAAAGAGTGAAAAACCAAGGGACATCTGATTTCTTGCCAAGTCGACCAAGATATTCCTGGGAATGGCATAGCTGTCACCAGTAAGTGGATGAGTCCCTGGGGTGCTTTGAGTTGCTTTTTCATCTTTTAGTTGGTTCTTATTATGATAAATAGAAGACTTATTTTTGAAACAAACAAAAAAATGGTGCTGATATTTTCATTAAGAATTCTCTATGCAAATTTATAGTCAAGGATGTTTGACAGATAATCCAGCAATTTATCTTAAACCCTACAATTTTTCTGAACAGAGAAATCTAAGCTGTTATAGCCCTTGATAGAATACTGCATTTGCCATCAATAAAATTTTGCTTCAAGATATTATAATTAGGATTTCTGAAAATTTTTTTTCCAACCAAGATCATCTGTGTTTGATTCACTCACTCAGTCATTACCATGACTCATAGCTGACACTTCAGTAGCTTTTCAGAGGGTACAAATTGCATAGGACATTGTCCGCCTTCCTCCCAGAGTGGTGGATTTGAACCACCAGCATTCATGTTGGCAGTGCAGCTCCTTACCCACTAGACCACCAGATCTTCCTTTCTATGGTTGGGTAGCATTTACTCAAGATTACTTAGAGTGTTATCAAGAAGTATTAGATATTCTCAAAATGTAACTGATACATTCCCTGTGCTGAGGAGGAGCTTTCTTCACCACATGAAAGTCCCGGTTCAAACCCAAGGTAGTTGCCTGTTATGTGATAAATGTAAAGATTTTCTTACACAGTAGTTTACAATTTGCCCTTGCAATTTGCCCAGGTGTTTACTGTCAGGAAATCCTGATGCATATCCTTAAACTTTCCTTCTGCAATTCAAGATATCTCTTCTAATTTTTTCCTTATGTGAGGAGACACACCAGAACCTCTGTCCCATGAAATAATGGTAGATGTAGCCCATTAATTTGCTAGTAAATAGAAATATTTTCTTTCTAAATAAATGATTGATGATATTGTTGTTGTTAGGTGGCATTGAGTCAACTACCACACATGGTGACTGAAGAACCTCAGGTCAAAGCCCTGTCCTGTGCCATCCTCACAATCTCTGCCTTGTTACTACAGTCACTGTGTGGCACCGTGATCAGAGCAGCCTATTTCAATGATAATGGTAGATCAACGATGGCACTGCTTCACATTTTTCATTTTATTAGTGATTTTAAATGCAACAAGATTATGTTTTTAAATTTATCATAACAATAGCAGTCTCTCCAAGATTAGGTGCTTTAATTTTTCACAATGAAAGACCAGTAGTTGCTGTGTACTGTCGAGTTGGAAATAACCCATAGCTGACCTCCAGTCGTGTTTTCTGAGGTAGTAAATTGCACGAGAGAGGGGGCAGCTGGTGGATTTCGTATCAACTGAGGTTCATAGCTATCATATGAACAACAGATCTGAGCTTTGCCCTATTATGCACCATCCTCATGACTGATCCCTGATACGTTTGACAAATTATTACAATCACGGTGTCAGCCCATCATGACGAGGATCCAACTTTCTCTGACTCTCCATCTTTACCAACATGATATATTTTTTTCCCTCCTGACAACATGCACACAACAGAGACAAAGTTGCACTGTCCTTCTTTCTCAGGAGTACCTTAGTTGATCTTCCTCCAAGATAATAGACTTGTTTTGTTCCTTTGGCAGTCCATTTAACCCTCCTCTAATACCATAGTACTGGCAGGTAACAGAAATGCCCTAGAAAACATATTGGGAATTCTATTTAAGCACCTGTTACTTACTGCGTATTTCTATTTAATAGTAAAAGATAAACACAGCCATACTTGGAAAACAAAGATTCAAAAGAAATTCTTTTCCCCTGTTTGTAATGTTAAAAATCTACTATTGTAATAGACTTTTGTTCCTGGAAATAAAAATTTAGCGTAGATCTCTCTTTAAGAAGAAAATAAATGAATCTCAGTTTTAATGTGAAAACAAATTTGTAAGTCAATGGAATGGTTAGTAACTTTAGTACATTTTCTAAGTGTAACTGATCTCTGTCTTTGCTGTGTGGGACATCAGACATTACCACAGCATGGATGAATTCAGCCACTATGACCTGCTTGATGCCAGCACCCAGAGAAGAGTGGCTGAGGGCCACAAAGCCAGCTTCTGTCTGGAGGACACTTCCTGTGACTATGGCTACCACCGGCGATTTGCCTGTACAGCACACACGCAGGTAAGTAGGCAGTCTTCCATCAGGAGCCGCCAGACCTCAGAAAGAAAATGACACAGCTGCTTACTTTCCTCCTAGTTCACTTATTTAAACTGTTTGATTTAGGAGGGCCAGTTAGTCAAGATGGAAAATGATTTAGAAAAAGAAAATGATGGATTAGTTATCTAAATTACTCTTTCTCTCCAGCTATCTGTATAGTCCCCTACTCATGATCACAGGTCATTGTGTACACGAGTCTTGATTCTTTCTCTTCCACAGTGAAAAGCAAGAGAGTTCACTCCCTGAAGAATGAATGTCTTATAACATCTGCACTTGCTCTGTATTTCTTAACCGACTCTGTGAATAATTGCAAGCAGACACTTGTTTTCTCACCTGCAAAACTGTTCCTCCCACCATCTGTTAAGAAAAAAAAAAAAGAGCTGGCTTAGCAAAAGGAGAGAGAATGTATTAAAGTGTCTCTTTTAGCAACAAATATCAGCCGAAGGACAATTTCTTTCTCCACACATGTATATTTAAACCTACAATATAATTTATGTCAGATGTCATTTGGATGGATTTTTTTGAAAGTAGTGCTGAACAAAGCAGTTTGTGTGTTTTATAATTGGAAAATCTCTTGCCAGTTAAAAGCTAGGTCAGAATTTCCATAAGAAACCCTAATTTGTGAAAAAAAAAAAATATAATTTTACTCCAGTCCAGATTTTGGCAAGGAGTAGTAAATGTACATAATTCAGAGTTCACAAGGAGAAGCAGTTAGGATCTTGGAAGCACATTCCAGGACTGTGGCAGGAAGCTTCTTTGGTGAACTCTCACCATTGCGTCTCTAACTGAATTTGAAACAGAGCAGCTGGAGGAGGAAATGTCCTTATTTTGAAGCCGAAGAAAATGTGAACCTCTTCACACATTCAACTCTCAGAAACTTGTTGCCATTGAGTCCGGACCTACTTATAGATGACCTTTCTGGGGATTTTTCAGAGGCTTTAAATCTCATGGGAGGAGATGGTCCTTCTTTCTCTGGAAGAACCTCTGGTGGATTCAAACTGCCAGAGAGGTGCAGTCCCTGGGTGAGCAGCACAGCTCCCTGGGGACTGCACCATGAGTGTTCCCTCCTGTGCTTGCTAGTTCAGATAATTAAAGCTCATACGTAAACTCTGTCTACCGAGCAATCCGAGAAGTTTTAGCATTCTTTACATTTCTTTTGTTCCCTTGAAGACAAGTACTGTAGAATTATTTAAGCAGAGTATCATCGAGTTGGAACTGACCCAAAGCTGACCCTCTAGCAAGTTTTCAGAGGCAGTAGGAGGAGATGGCCCATTCTCCTCCGGTGGAGCAGCTGGTGGATTCAAACTGCGTGCCTTCGGGATTGCAGCACAGCTTCTTACCACTGGGCCAAACTAGTCTTAAATTGGTTTCCAGCCTCATGAAATCCTTACAATGTCATGAATGTAAAAATTATAATTATGGTAGTAGCACTAATTGAGTAGGCATTATGTACCATTAGCAGAATTATGTGCTAAAAAAAAATAAAGGGGACTCCTGTTGTAAAGTGGCACACATAGGGCAACTCTATTGCTCTACGTGCAGAATTGACATCAAGAGATTTCGGAAGCATAATTTTTGTTCCCTGGGAGTCTGGTGATCATGGGTTCCATAAGAAAGAAAAAAAAAAAAGAAGAAGAAGTATATGCTAGAATTAGAAGCCATAAGTTCTTTATATTTACTATTAAGCATAAACGAAGCTCTGGTGGATAGTTCATAAAAAGTTACGGCGAGAACTCAAAGGCAGCACCTATCTGGTGATTCAAATCTACTGACAGCTTCTCAGGAGAGAGATGGGCAGTCTCCTCCCATATACTTTGCAGCCTCAGAAAAGCCATTAGAGGGTCAGCTACGACCCTGGTTCCAGCTCAATGGCAATGAGTTCAAGTTTTTATTAAGCACACTGTTTTGAAAAATAATTGTAAGTTGGTACAGACTAAGGTGGGATCCAGGTGATAACAAAGATTTTTCACTTCTGTGCCCGGGAACTTTTGGGCTTGGCCTGTCTGTGCTGTATGACAGGTATCCCCCTCCACCCCCCCACCCCCACCCCCGTTGTTCCCAAATTAAGTTATAGCCAAGCCAACCTAGAAGAGCCTGCCCTAAAGAAGGTGTCTTCTCTTTGATAATCAGGTGTTGTTCAGCACCAAAGTACTTTGGACTCTGAAATAAAATAGCTGTGAGGATAGCACAGGATAAGACAGGGCTCAAGTCTGTTGTTCCCAGGGTCAAAATGAGTCGTACTGTACTTGGTGGCACCTAACAACAAGCATACATTTCCTAGAACAAATCTTATTATATTCATTGCTATTTTTCCTCCCAAACTATAGAATTCACTCTTTTACCTATTGAAGCAAGTGGAATGGTGCAGCATTCATTGTTGGAGCATACATTTATCAGTTCCTTCAAGTCAGTAAATGTCTAGTGACATGAGAGGAAGTATGGCATGATGCTTAAAAACAGATTCTGGACCACATTTATTACGCTCAAAATGAGCACTGCACTTAGGAACTATATCCTTAAGGTTAGTTACTTCAACTCATTAGACCTGAGTTCCCTCAATTGAAAAAATGGAGAAAGTGACAATGCCTTCTTCATGAAATCTTGAACTTGTATATGTAATAGGTTTAAAATTATTCCTAGCACATTCAAAGATACAATATAGATTTTCTATTTAGAGCACTGAGAATCTTTTGTTATATGTAATACTGAGTAGAACAATCATGATGCTAAGAAGAGATGAATAAAGGCTACAAAACTATACATAAAAAGGTATCATGGGAAAAATAAAGATTCTCACCCCTGGGCCAATTGTTAGCACCATGAAGGATGGAGAAGAGATTGAGGTTGTCAACAGTTACAGCTTGCTCACCTCCATAATCAATACTCCCGGCACCAGCAGTCAGGAAATCAAAAGATGAAATGCATTATGTAAGTCTGCTATCAGGGGCCTTTCCAGAGTACTGAGAAGCAACAATGTCAGTCTAGAGACTTCACTTGCTATGCATCAGAGAGCTGGACAATGAACAAGGATGACAGAAAAATCCATACCTTTGAGTTGTGGTGCTGGAGAAGAGTCCTGAATATGCCATGGACTACCAAGAAAACAAATAGGTCTGTCTTAGAGAGGGTGAAACCAAGTTTCTCCTTGGAGGCTAGGATTTTTAAGCTCCGTCTCACATACTTTGGGCACGTGACTAGAATGTACTGATCTTGGTAAAAGAACATCGGGGAGCTCTGGTGGCCTAGTGGCAAGGAGCTGCAACTACAATCCCAGAGGCACGCGGTTCAAATCCACCAGATGCTCTGCCGGGAAAAGGAGGGACAATCTCCTCCTGTACCAGTCAGATCTGATTTGACGGTACACTCACACAAAAATAAAAAAATTAAAAAAAAAAAAAAGAACATCATGCTCAGAAGTTTGGAGGGCCAACTCAGGAGAGGAAGATGTTGTAGGAGATGGATTGATACAGTAACTAGGACTACTGTGTCGGAGTCAGTGAGACTGGCTCAGGACAGGGCAGTCTTCAGAGTCATTGTACAGAGGGTCACTATGAGTCTCAGGTGACCCGATGGCACATAACAACAGCAACAACATCACAGGTGTTCAGAAGATGGAACGGTAACTTCCAAGAGAGGAAACTGAAAACTTTCTCTGAGGACATTTGAGAGAAATTAAGTATTTTTAGAAACTCAGTGCTATCAGCTGGCCTTTTATTCCTGAACTGGTAATATTCTACAGTTTTGATACAGACCTATTTTATTACTTAAGAGTCTATTTATCATTATGATTTATTACAGTGTTTAGGAAGCTAGGTGTGCTACTGCTTAAATTAGTCTGAATCTTTTGTAGATGTAGTAATAGATATTTTCATGAGAGAATTATATATATTCATTCACCAGGATAAGTAATCTATACTATTCAATAAATTAGTATATGTGTAGTTTTATGTCAAATTCTTTTAAGTGCTCACTTAAGAATTAATTTGCCAGTAACAGCATGTTCTTAAGATTATAATAGCCATGTATTACCTTAATTTTTTAAAAATTTTCTTTGTTTTAGGGGTTGAGCCCTGGCTGTTATGATACTTACAATGCAGACATAGACTGCCAGTGGATTGATATAACAGATGTACAACCTGGAAACTATATTCTCAAGGTAGTGAGCTCTGGAAACATGCATCTGCTATTTGCTTAAATTACAAACAAGTAACTCCCTTCTTCTGGATGTAAATGTTAAATAATCTGGTCCTGAAAGCAGTTACAAGTATTACTTCTAAATCAGTCGAGATACATGTAGAAAATGTTTTACTTTTAAAAATTTTCTGAAGAAACTATATATTCGCCTTCTGTATTTCCTGCACAGTTTAACTACTTGTCTAATTTAAACACCTGATTTACATTCTCCTTTTTTCTAACACATGTGAACAGACATATATTAAGCAGTAAAGATTGATGATAAAATCTAAGCATAAATGCTATTTGTCTTGCCTAGGTCAGTGTGAACCCCAGCTACCTGGTGCCTGAGTCAGACTACTCCAACAATGTTGTGCGCTGTGAAATACGCTATACAGGACACCATGCCTATGCCTCGGGCTGCACAATTTCACCGTAAGTCCCATTTGTCTAACTAGGTAGTTTCTTCATGAAGAGAAAAGTAGTGCCGAAAGGCATTACTCTTGATACATTTTGGTTTTCTGTGAACTAACTAATGCACCTTACTTATAAAACAACTCAAAGTAGAAAACACTATGGAGTCTGTATTAAATAAAGCTGATGATGAGTTGTTGTTGTTGTTGTTGTTACGTGCCTTTGAGTCATAGATGACTCATAGCCACTCTATGAATTAAAGACCTGAATACTTGTGTAAATTTCATTGTTTCTCCAAGTTCATAGAGTTTCTGGAGGCAAGCTATTTCAGAAGTGATGCCACTCCTGCTACCAAGCTTGTTTTAATTGGGAAGCTCCACCAAACACTGTCCACCATGGGTAACCATTATCACATTTGACACCTCAGTGTCACAGTGTTTAGCATCACAGCAACCACAAGTTTCCTCTGTACAGTAAATGGACAGACCAGTACTATACCACCTAGAAGAATGTTTGACCAAAAGAAATTGAAACCAGGAGAGATATAATAAAAATTTTGTCTTTCCAGGTATTAGTTTTCAAGCCAACACATGCACATAGAAGAAATTCTTTACCCAAATATTTTCTATGGAGGCTCAATACATAGGGTTGGTGGACCACTGGGAGTCATTACACTTTGGTTTGTTACCTTCCCCACCAACAGCAGCAGACTCTGCCTGAGCACTAAAGAAATTCATTGTGGCTTTGTTGTGTGTGTTTAAGCTGAAACTAACTCATAACTGACCATCCAGTGGGGTTTCAGAGGCAGTAAATCACACAGGAGGAGATTGCCCATTCTAATCCTCCAGAGCAGCTGTTGGATCCGAAGAGTGTGCCTTCGAGATTGTAGCACAACTTCTTACCACAAGGCCACCAAAGCTCCTGAAAAAAATTGATAAAATTCTTTGAAGTATAATCACTAACTGTATTAGAGACATGTATTAAATTGGTTGAAGGGAAAGAGTATTCAAAAAAGGGACTGATCACTACAATATCAGCACAAAATTTTTATAAGAAAAGGAAAGCACAGAGATATGCACAAAAGTTAAAGAGAACAAAAATAGACATGATCATTTATGCAATCTGATATCAGTAATAATAGATATTAATCTATAAGTGGATTGAGGTGGTTAGAGATATAGGTGAAAGAGATTATACTCATAATTACATAGGTTTTGCAGACAGTATTTCTATGTACTCATGTCTGGTGGTGTAGTCCCTTGAGAGTTACAATAATAACTCAAAGTCTTCATTTCTCCAGTGATTCTAATCCACTGTCCGTTCCAGTGGAGAAAGATGGCAGTCTAAATGGAGAGTCAGCTATGAATTAGGGCCAATTAGATAACTAGTTAACTAGTGAGAGAATTTGCATATGTTATAGATAGATCTGTGTGTATTTGTGATCTTTTTGTGTATAGGTCTATGTATAGCATATGCATATATGCTCACACTCACTCGCTCACTCATTATCCGTAAGTCAGAACCAACTCATCGGCTGTAAATTGCACAGGAGGAGATTTCTTATCTTTCTCCTGTGGAATAGGTGATTGATTTCAACCTTTTGCCTTCAGCTCCTGACTCACTATACCACTAGCGAGAATATACATAGTTTTTTCCTGGTATAGAGCAAATCAGACACAAAATTATAGAAACTTATTAGCCATAAAAACTTTGAGAGAATGAGTCACTGGGCCTTCATTACAGGAGACATCAAAGTCAGCTAACAGCATAGTTCACAAAGACAGTGTTCTACATTCTACTTTTGTCAAATAGCAGCTAAGGTGTTAGCTTCATAGTGGCCAACTCAGAAACAACTACAGAAATCTTCCAGAAAGAGTGAAAAAAGACTAAGAGAAGAAGAAATAACCTAAGACTAAAATCAAAAGATTAGTGCGGTATGGAAACTTAAGTCTTCATGACACTGAGATCAGAAGAAATAGATGGTGCCCACTGCCACTGCTGACAAATCTAAAAGAATAAAAAGGTCCCTGGTAGAGCAGGAGAGAAATGTGGAACAACACACAAAATCATAAAAATGATAAGATTTGCTGCTCTGCTGGAGATTGATGGTATTCTTAATACCATGGCCCTTACACATCCTTCCAGCTTCAAACTGAAATCACCCTGGTGACTCAGTACCCCCATTTTGTATGATGACTTTTATTTCACCCAATTTAAAATGTGCCTCTAAGACTAGTTAGTGGTTTCCCCCCCTTCCTCTAACATCACTGTATCATCAAATGATACTTGTTGCTTGTTTTTTAGTTGTTTTTTTTTTCTCAAGCCTCCTGTCCTGAGGCTGAGCTCAGAGGAAAGAAAATTCTTTCGACTTTTGGTATAGCATTTGAATTGAGTCTTCAAGGTTACTAAGGAATGCAGTGGGGTTAAGGAGGATTAAAGGGAAGGCAGGCTGGAAAAGCCCAACAGCAAGGCAACCACATGACAGGAAGAAAGCCCAGGGGCGTACTTGGAAAAGCAAGTTTTCCAGTTGGGCTGCGGCATAAGTTTGATGGAGTTAAGAATTGGGCAAAAAAGTGGGGAGTTATGTTGTGGTTAGATCAAAGGGAACATTGCATAGCATGATAAAAAATTCGAACTTCCTTCTGGGGACAATGCAAAGCTTTATAAGTTGCCTGTTGTTGTGTATTCAGTTTGTTGTAATAACTATACTTGACATAGTGCTTCTGTCAGTTTACAGTTATTCGTAGTCAATTAAATATTTGAGAACATTCAAACCAAACCACTTGCCCAGTTAACTCCATCGTCTAGTGACCAGAAGTGTGTCTGAGCAGAACTCTGGGAGTTTTCAAGACTGTCTAACTTTCTGAAAGCAGGCACCAGGTCTTTCTTTCAAGTGATTTCTGAGACACTGAACTATTTGTGCCACTGAGAGACGATGCTCAATTTGTATGTAAAATCACCCAGTAACTATTTACTTCTCTCTCCTCTCCCTGATTTTCCTCAATGTATGCAAAAGATATCCACCAGATGATATCTGAGGTCTCTTTTGATTCCAAGATGCTGCAATTATGTCTCTTCTCTCGAAATCTGTTTTGAAATTGATGGTTTATGATTTGGACTAAGTGCATTCTTACTTCATTGACAAGGACTAGATACAACACTTGATTTAATAATTTTGGCTAACTTTCTACTAGTTAATAGCAGAATTCCCAAACCGTGCTGACCCAGGACTAATGTAATATGACACAACTTGAGTGCTTGGTGGACAAAGCCACACTTACTTCACAAAGGAACCAATCTGGTCAGGGCCATTATGCCCACAAATCCTGCTTTGCTGTGTGATTGTTTCAGAGGTTCTTTGGTTTTGTTTGTTTGTTTGGTGTTTTTTTGTTCCTAAATATCAGGACTATAGTCTTCAAGGAGAGCTCTGGTGGAGTAGGAAGTAGGGAGGTGCCGTGCCAGAGTAATACTTCTCTGGCTGTTTGAATCCACCAGCATCTCTGCAAGTGAAAGATGGAACATTCTCCCCCTCTGCGATTTACAGCCTCAGAAAGCCTATCAGAGCATTAGTTCCAGTCACCAGACATATAGTTTCTTCAATTGAAATAGAATTACTTTTAAAAAATCATTATTAAATATATTAGTGAATAGTTTCACAAGACAGTTATTGTTTTGATGGAAGGACATTTTGTCATAAAGTTTAAAAATGGTTGACTCTAAAGTATATACTTTATGCATAACCTAAACAGGCTAATAATGTGTCTTTTTAATTTTTTGTCTTTATTCTAGATATTAGAACACAAGCCAAAACTCTCAGTGGATGAATCAGTGCCTGGTGTTCTGAAGTGGAGGAAAAAATAGATTAACTTCAATAGGATTTATGTATTTGGGAAAAGAGAGCAGAAAACAAAAAGGGATTTTTTTAATGTCTTATAACAAAGTACATAACTGGATTCTGAACACTTATATCAACATTATTTGGGAAAATTTTAGTACTTATTCACATAACTTTGTGAATCAACAGAGTGTTTCAGTTCTGTAGTGGCATATGTGGCTCTTTCAAAGCAATCCATGTATCTTGTGCTTCTTTTGAAATGATTGTGCAAAAGAGAAAATACTTTGCTGAATGAGCCTAAATTATTTGAGTTGAAAAATGTCTAAAATGTTGACAATGCAGTGAAACATAATAACTGGCATAGCGTAGATTAATTTAAAAATGAGGTTCCCACTGCTTAAACATTTGTGGACACATTTGGTGCTGAAGAAGGAACACACACATTATCATTGGTGTCACAAAATGAAAACAGAGAAATGGCAGTATATATACTCAGATAAATTACATCCCTATATAAAATGTATGTTTACATTTTTTAATTAATAGATAAATGCCTTTCTTTCTGTCAGGTGCACAATTTCATTCTGACTTCAGTCAGCCTTTGTTAAGGAATGAATTCAGTAACTGAGCTGCCTAACTCATGTGTGACTTTTGTTGCTGTTCCCTTTTGTTTTCCCTGTGGGCAGAGATCTCTTCAATGACATTCTTTTATTACCCTGCTAGGAAACTGGTATGCGTAAGACACCTGTGCAAACGGGAAATAATTTTGAGGATAGATAAGACAGAGAAATATAAGCAGGTTGAAGTAGTAATCAAAAAGATACTTCCTCACGGACATGAAAATCCTAAATATATGTTCCCTGAACCACAATGAAAGAAAAATCTTAAAATGTTTTAATTTTTACACATTAATTTTATCCAAAAAGGACGATGCAGAGGAATTTTCAATTATTCAGAAGGTATATGTGCAATAGGGGACATCATGTTACATCATTCAGAAATAGTCCCACAGGATTGTGTGTGTATGTGTGAAATATAGTCCAAATTAGCAAAGCACAAAGCATACTGTAGGGATTGGTGAGCAAGGGCAAAGAATACTTTGCAAAGCCAGGGACTGTGCTGCATAGTAAGACAGCTGTGATTTTATTTTAAACTGTGAAATTGTGTGCCACAATAGAATTTGGAGAATT